AGATTAGCAAGCAAAATAAAAGAATATAACGAAATTGAAAGAGAAGAACGAAAAAAAAAAAGATGAAACTTACCTTTGCTCATGTCGGTTTCCGCCTTTGCATGACATCTCACTCGTTTTCCTTCCCTTCTTCTTCCTTTCTGTTTCAAACTCTACCACTCACTGCCTTCGCCATTCTCTCTCTTCTCTTCTCCCCCTTGTGACGGTCGCTCTCAGCTCTCCTTCTTTTCTCGCTCGACCACTCCTCTCTTTTCTTCCCTTTCCCTTTTTTTTCTCTTTTCCTTTCTTCCTTTTCGGCCTCCCTCTTCTTTTCCTCTCTCTTTTCTCCTTCTCGGCTTTCTGCGCACGACAGTCTTCTTTTTCCTCTCTCCCCGATCGACTCCTCTCTCTTTTCCCTCTCTCTTTTTTGGCTACTCTCCAAATGAAGGAAAAAGCCCTAATTTTCCTTTTTTTATACCCGTTCGTCCCAACCGTCAGATCTTCCTAACTCAATTTGGGCTGTCTGTTCTCTTTTAAAATCTCAGCAATCTGATCTCCTTAAGTGGTCTGATTTGGGCCATCCATTTTTCTTGATTTCCTTTGCCCCCTTCCACTTCCCCTTATTTATGTTTTTACCTCTTTTTTTCTTACCTACTTTTTTTTATATCCTTAAAATTGATTAAAAGCATCAAAATTTGTAAAATTCTTTCATTTAAATCCTAACTCCAATTTTATTGATTTATTTTATATTTTTTTTTGTTTTCTTTAGGTGGATGTTACAGTTGCTACCCAAAATAATTTAGTTTAAAAAATTAATTTAGATTCTATTTTAAACCAGACCCCATAATATAAAAAACACACTAAATATGTGTAGCCATAGACTCAAATGAAATTCAAAAACCTCAAATTCCACACAGTTTATTTGACTCAAAAACCTCACTTCACACCATAAAATAGTTATGTTCAGGGAAAAGTGGGTTTTCTTTCTCTGGTTCTCAAACATAATGAAAAGATACTAGGTGTTGCAGAATGACAAAAGGGAGAAAATGAGAAGAGAAAATGATAAAGGCACGAGGTAAAGAGAATTGTAAGATGATGATGATTGGACGATGATGATGAATCAAGCACATTAAAGGGAATCGAAGCTGTGAAACAAGAAAAATGGGATGCGATGCTCCGATGGGAGGACATGTTTCTCAAATGTGTGTAAATGTGCATATGTATGTGTATTGGTAAGTTGTATAAGAGGTGTGTGTCCACCTCTTTTACTAGAGGTATAAACACCTCTTTTTCTCTAATTCAAAGTATCTAGAATCAAAGTTTTCGAAACCCTATTAGGGTTTTCTCTCTGAGTTGTCATCCATTCTTTATTTTCCCTCGATATTTCTTATTTTTCTGGTATTTGTTGTCCATTTTTTCCTTCAGATCTTTATAGATCCATTTTCCTTTCTTTTATGGTATCAGAGCACGAGATGGAGACCAAAAACGCAAATGAAATGACTTTTCACCAAAATCCAATGTTTTGAGTGGAATCTTTTTAGATGATTCTAATCCGAATAGTTTGTACTGCATTGGTGCAAACAAAAGCTTTGGGGCTTGCTTGTTACTCAGTTGCTGGAAGCAAGCAACTGCCATACATGAGCAACGTCTATAAAGCCTGCATTTCGAACCAAACACAAATTAGGGTTTGTGGATGGAAGCTTGAAAAAATCGACAGACCAGTGAATTCGCTCTTGAAACACTAGATATAATGTAATAAAATCATCATCACCTTGATTCAAGATGTATTGTATGTTAACATTAAGTGCATCACTTCATATGTAGATACTGCACATTAACTGTGTATCGAGTTGGAGCAGAGATATGCACAGTAAAACATGCCAAGAATGAAGGAGGCCATAGCATACCTCATGTAAAACCAAACTCTGTCAATGTCTATTCCTCAAAACTTAAAGCTTTATTTAAAAAAAATTTGCTTAATATCGATAAGAACTTATGTTAACTTCTTCTTATTGAACCATATACACATACATATTATCAAAGTATAAATCTTTACTTGATGTAAAATTTAAACTAACGAATCAAATAATTGGCGGACAAGCAATCTCATTCAGTTATTGAAGAAAACAAGAAATAATTACGCCAAGAAAATGGATCATATTTGTCCTCTGTCACCTAATTATTCTTCTTTTTTTGCTTTTTTTTTCATTATCGGCATAGTTGGGTCCATATGAATAAAGACAAATGAAAATCATTTGAGAGAGGATGGTAATTTGTTCTCCATGTGATCGTTTTGTATATGTTGACAAAATATGCAAAATGTGAAAGTCTTTTTCTCTAAGTATTTTTTTGTGTTAATTTATGGGTTTAAATGGACGCCTTATAATATTAACAAATGATATTTAAGGTAATATCAAATACTTCATTTATGTGTCTATATTATCATTACAATTTAATTTTGTTGAAGTATGAAGGTCAAATCTCTGCAAGAAAACTAAATTTTTTATTTATACTTTGATAATATGTATATGTAAGCAAACAGAAGTTAAGTAAACAGAAAATGGAATATTACATATTAAGTTTCAAATGAAATGTTCACTCCATGGAAACGATAGGAAGAAATTAATAATTGATTCTAAACGAAAACTAAGTTTGGGGACTGTATATGAGAGGATTGGGATCTAAAGCTGCATACTGAAGGAGATCATGATGCTGGTTATTTTTGGTTATTATATTCATCTCTTGCTCATCCATGGTTATCCAAGCCTCTATTCCGTCACCCAATCTTGTATCAACTAAAACAACAAGGTTCTTAAACCTATCTGAAACATTATTAGTAATCCATACAGGTTTCCCCCAACCAAAATCAGCTACTTCGTACAACCCAAACCTACACCAGCTGGTGAATGCCACATAGTCTACTCCTTCTTTACTTGCTAACTCATCTCTTTCTTTCACCTTTTCCAGTATCTCCGCTCCTAGTTTCTTTACGTCCACTTTCGATATAGCATCTCTAAGCTCCCTTGCCAACTCAACCAGTTCCCTGCTTTGTTCGGCGCTTCTTATACGACCTACTTCCAACACGAAATTTCCTATGCCCTTGTCTGATAAAGGCGGTGACATTCTACTTCGAAGGTTCACAGCGTGAGTCATTAAAGAAGGCCTCGGCTTTCCCCCGTGTCTTTCCTGAGCGGCAGCGATCATGCACTTCATTATCAGAGCTGAAACTGCCTCCACCCGGCTCGGGATAAACCCAGTACTTGAGCTGCTTGATCGCGCCTTGAGGCTTGTGATTGCAGGGCCATCAAATACAAATCTCCTCCTCACACAGTTTTTTTCTGCAACAACCAACTCCACATGCAAACTTCGGGTCGACAAATCAGTAACTGCAGGGAAGAGAGAGCAGGCGGCGAAGCTGGGAATTACTGAAAAATCATCGCGAGCCGTGGCAGTCCATGCCTTGACAAAGGTGGTGATCGAACTAAAATCAACGACCTTGTGTGAAACGCACAATGCAATACCGATTCCGCCGCACTCAAACACGTTGACTTGAACGTTGGTTATACATGCTCCTGCACCTGATCCCATCAAAACTAATTCACACGGAAGAAATTTTTCCAGTGAGGAGACAAAGTCCGGCTGGGAAAGAAATTGATGGAGAGTACAATGAACTCTAGCCTCCACGAAGTTAGCTCCTTCATCATCGCAGTCGATGGAAATATCATCTCTGAGCTTCCCAGCAAGAGGGTAAAAGCGATTTAATGTCTCCGATAAAGATTTCTTTAGCAGCTGCAATCGTTTTGGGGTGTCATTGAGATTGTGGGTTGTGGGATAAAGCATTACAGTTCGAATATACATAGGAAACATTAACTGATCCAAAAGAGAGAGGTTCAGAATTCTAAGGTTTTGAGGTGTCGGTGAAGATGGTTTTATCTTCTCCCGAGCAATGATTTCCACTTCCATTTTCTCTGTTTTTTTCCTGACCATGAAAACTCCACACCCTCAACTCAGTTTATGTTGGTCAAGGAAACATGCAAATGGACATAAAATATCGCCTCCCTTCGTTTTAATTTTAATTTAGAATATTAATTACTAACATGTAAAGTCAAAGTTAAACTGTAATTTTCAATTATTACCTTAATTCTCACTTAAAAGATGGATTTAAAACCATTAATTTCCATCTTAATTTACTAAACAAAAGTTTAGAGAGATAAATAAAGAAATATATCTACTTGAGGTGGTCTCGTTCATTTCTTTCCCATGAAAAAAAGGGAGAAAGAAATATATATTTCTATAGTATTATATCTCATTATAATACTATAGAAATATAGGATGTACACATTCAATAATTATGTAAATTTATTATGTATGCTATTTTGAATATAAGCTAATATTTGCTTATATATATATATATATATATATATATATATGTTCTTTCAAGAATTTAATAATTTATATATAAATGCACAATATAACTAGTTATTTTTTAACCCGTCTCAATGCATTATATATAAGTTACGTGATTATTTTTTTATATAATTTTATAATTAAAAATATTAATTTATTATAAAATATTATGTTCGTGTTATAATTATTATTTTTAGAGTAAATTTATTACCAAATTTTATTCGTGTACAACTAGTTTAATAAATTTTGCCTTTTTATTTAAAGAAATTATTAATTGACAATATAAAAATTTTAAATAAAATTATTTAAATTAATTTTTTGTAACAAATCGTTTATTTGACTGAACGTAAATATTTTTATTTTTTTTTCACATTATATTTCTAAAATGTTTATCAAAATCGATAAATTAAAATGAACTAAAATAAAATTTTGATACATATATTTAATCACTCTCGTAAATAACAACTTAAAAGAAAAATATTATATATTCGATATAATCTTATTGGAAAAACTTATTTTAGTAAATTACATATTTAAATAGACCGTAAAAACTTATTTTAATAAATTACATATTTAAACAGAAGTAAAAGGAGTAGAATTCAGCGATGCATAGCTAAGGAGATTATGATCATTTTGTAATATCATCATCTCCTCTTCGTCCATGGTGACCCAAGCTTCTATGCCATCACCTAACCTGCTCTCAATTAAAACAACAAAGTTCGCAAACAATGGAGCTTCCATTCCAATGCTGCTTACCCACACAGGTTTTCCCCACCCAAAATCAGCTTCATAGAACCCAAGCTTGCACCAACTGGTGATTCCTAAATACTCCACTTCGTCTTTACTGCCAAACTCCCTTATTTCTTTGATACAATCCAACATTATTTCTTTCCCTTTTTCGCCTCCTATTTCCTTTGCAAAATCACCATTGATTTTTGATATTCCAACCCTAATCTCCCTTGCTAACTGGTCCAGCTCTCTCTCCTGATCTGCCCTCAGTCGAGCACTCGCTAACCACACCTGATTTCCCAACGAATTCTTCGATGCAGGAGGTGACATTCTTGTCCGCAGGTTCACGGCGTGAGCCAACAAACCACCTCTTGGGCTTCCATGTTTTTGTTGAGATGCTGCCATGGTGCACTTCCATATCAGCGCTGAAACAGCCTCCACTCGAGTGGAGCTCCTTGCTCGTTTCTTGAGGCTGGCTATTGCCGGCGCATCAAACACAAATCTCCTTGTCACAAACTTGCCTTCCTTCAACAACGAACCCCACATCTCAGTGGCTGAATCTCTGAACCATAAGTCCTCCTTCGCGGGGAAGAGACTAGTGGAAACAAAGCTCGCTGATAACAAATCACCAACATCAATATTCTTGTTGCAGGTGTTGTCACGAGCATTAGCAGTCCACACCTCAAGGAAGGTGTTGAGTGCAGCGGCATCAACGATCTTGTGTGAAACGCACATGCCAATGGCAATACCTCCACACTCAAATACATTAACTTGGATGTTGGTTACATAAGTTCCGGCGACTGATCCTGTCGAAAGAACGGATTGGAAAGGAAGAAATTTATGCAATAACAAAAGATCAGGCTCGAAAAGAAATTGATGGAGGGTGCAGTTAACCCTAGCCTCCAAGAAACTAGCTCCTTCATCGTCACAGTCGATGGAACAATCATCTTTCATCTTTCCAGCAAGAGGGTAAAAGCAAGCTAACGCTTCTGATAAAGATTTCCTTAGCAGCTGCATTTGTTCTAGGGTAGTGTGTTGATGATGGTTAGTGCAGTGACGAGCATTTTTGGAGAAATCATAAAACAGGATAAGTTGGACATATGGAGAAGGCATGAAATGATCTAAAAGGGAGAGCTTGAAGATTCGAAGATGCTGAGGTGTTGGAGAAGATGGTTTTATGTTCTCCTGAGAAACGATTTCTACTTCCATTGTTATTGTATTTGGTTCACCCCGACCCTGCGCTATGAAGACAATATATACACATATATATAGAGGCTAAACTTGATTTAGATAAGACTAGGTCCAATTCTAAAGGAATAATATACATATATTGTGAAAAAGTAAAATAATTTCGAAGAAGAAAATTAGTGAATAATGATTATATATATACATAAATATATATATAGACGTATATATATCTCTTGTTGAATTGACGAGTTCCAGTAGTTTATGTGTTAGTAAGCAAATAAGAAGTAAAATTTGAGGCATTAATATATTTCATGGTATAATGGATTTTGATCCTGTTTCCACTGATAACCATCTAATATTTTGTTAAGATGTCTTCAAATTAAATTTTGGTCTTCCAAAATTAAATTATTTTAATTAGATTAAAATTATAATTAAAAATTTTGACAAAAATTTTTGTAATATTTGCATAAAAAAGTCAAAGACTGAAACTCACATCTAATAATTAAAAATTCCAAAATAATTGATATTTATTTCTGTGTTACATATATTATAATTTTAAAAATTAATCGTACAAAATAAATTAAAATTAAATTTTATTTTTATATTTAGAAATTTTAGATAAATAACTATTATGTACTATAATTTTTTTTTTTACATTTATAATTATAGAGTGTATAATTTGTAATAAATTAAAAATTAAATTCTATTTTAAAATTTTATTAAATATATAAACTATAGTTAATCAAAAATCAAATTCTACTTTTATATTTTTTAAAAAAAAATATAGACTGTATGGTTTGCAATTTATTAAAAATTAAATTCTATTTTTATCCTCTAGAAATTCAATGGATAATTAGTATGTATATTATTTTATTATTTTTATTTTTATATTTTAAAATTTGAGTGAATAATATTTTTTTATATTTTAAATTTTCAATAAATCATACCTAAAATTTTATCTTTATATATCGTATATATATATTTATAATTAATACTACCATATTATTTTCATTTTTAGTTTTTTCAAACAAAAAAAAAAAAGAAAACGTCGTATACATACATATACATATATACACATATATGTAGATTACTGATACTTTATATATAACCCAAAAAGCCCCACCTTCTTAGTTAACTCAATCTTTAATTTCATTCTGCATACATGTTATATATATATATGTATATGTGTGTGTGTGTGTGTTGAAACCCCCACCTTCTTTGCTTGATTCAATATTTAATTTTATTCTACCCACATGCAAATATATATATATATATGTATTATGTAATCGTAGATTTCATTTGTTTTTACAGAGAATGAGATTTGAATTTAATTAGTTTATTCACTAAGTTGATGAAGAATGGATCTATATATTAATATAAAGTTCATGACTTATTAACAAGGAATTTCATAATTTCAAATTGAATGAAATTAAGAATTATATATATATATATATATATATATATATAGAAGTAGGTAGCAAAACGGTGAAAGGGTGACTTTTTCAAAGTTTTGTAAAAATATTTGCTGCCACCAATTATATTTACATGCAATTCTAACATGCAACTACTTTTTTAATGTTCTCCATATTCAAGATTAAATTATATCACGTGCATGGCATACATATACACGGTATGGAAGAGGTGAATCCATTATATAATCGTTTCATTGCAACTTGTAAAATTTCTTCCCACACCGAACTCTAATCCAGAATTCTGTCGGTATACACACACCATATAATATAACATAATAATTTATAAAAGTATTTTTCGCAGTAAATTTTAAAATAACAAAAGTACATTTCTTACATACTTAATTTAAAAATACTTAATATATATGAGACATATCTAAACTCTAAAATAAATAATTTAATTTTAAATATTATTTAAATTAAAATAAAATAAAAAGATTTACTAATAAATTTTTCACTGTTTAAAAGTTCTATTCTGATTATCCTAATCCAAAAATAAATAAATAATGAATACGGTGAGTTTAATATGCTCAGTAAATGTGTAAGTACTAATAAATAATATGATAATACATTTAAATTAGTAAAAAAAACATAAAACTACTGACGACAAAAATTTAAAAATATATTTAATTTTGAAAATACGTAGTATCTATACCATAATAAACTTTTTAAATCAATTTATTTAATAAATATTTGGAATTCAATATTTAATATTAAATTATATATATAAATAAAGTCAACCCTTGGCCAGCAATTATATATACATATATGATTTTTTCGTTTTCTCCATATTGCAGATTAAATTACATATTAACGAACATATGCATGATATGGAAAGGGGGAATACATTATTTCATTATTTCATTTCAACTTACAAAACTTCTTCCCGCAGGAAAATGAAAAAAAAAACCTGTAAGACTTTTCTTGTTCTTCATTTCCAGCTTCCATAATTCCTTTGTCTTCCTTCCACTGGTTAACGCAGTAAGAGTCAGTAATGGGGGGGAGACTGAAGGAGAATGTTTTAGTTTACTTTTCTAAGGTTCTATCATTTTCGACATTACAACCATGTCCTCTGTTCTTTTTCTCTTGCATTTTGAATCCCATATGTGTATATATATATATATGTGTGTGTGTGTGTGTAATCTTTGTACTTTGGTTTATATATCCAAAATACATCTCCATTCACCATTTCAAATGCAGAATTAATCTACTTGTTTCAAACAATTTTACTAAATATTTCAAAAGAAAAAAGAGTTACATTGAAATTGTAGGTTAAAAAGAAAATTTTGTATGAACTAAGAAATAATCTGCCGATTAAATTGATCGAGTTAATCTGGGCCACACACGATACTACTTAATTTCAGATTATTGTGTTTCTTCACATATATATATATATATATATGTATATGATGCATAGTGTTTCATAATTACATATTCAAAGCGTGTTTCTAATCATCTCTTTTCGCAAAAATATCAAAGTGCATGGGGTTCTAAGTTTCAAAATATTTGCATCACTTAAAAATAAATTATTCAAATTGATCTCATCGATTTGTTAAAGTCTAATATCAAAAATTTGGTTTTCTCGTCTTATCTTTTCACTGATCTTGATTTTAAAATGAACGTGATGAATTTCACTAACTTAATAAATAGTATGCAGTGAATTAACAATTTATTATGTGCATTATTTTGAATATAAGTTAATATTTACTTATATAAATATATGTTCTTTTATGAATTTAATAATTTAGTTAGAAACAGACGAGTTATTTATTAATCTGTCTCAATTATCGCGTTCGAGTTATGTGACAATTTTTCATATAATATTATGTATTATAAAATATTGAGTTCGTGTTGTAATTGTTATTCTTGGAGTAAATTTATTACCAAATTTTATTAATGTACAACTAGTTTAATAAATTTTTCAAATAAAATTTATAAATTAACCGTCCGTGAACTTGAAAGTAAGTAAATTATAAATATAATACGAAAGCGAAATAATAACGTTAGGGTTTACATTCCTTACACAATAATTCAGGATACCCAATAGGGTTACGAGAATAATCCTTCTAAAAGAATAACTAATAATCAAATAAATAAATGAAAAGTAAACAAACTGAACGTATTACTCGCAATTCTCTTGTGGATCGGAATCTGGATCTTGATCATCTTTATCTGAAATAGTTAATTGAAAGAGTAAGCTACACCAGGCCAATAAAAATATCACGCTACTCACCGATACAGAAATGAAGTTTGGTAGAAATCATAAAAATAATTAATATAGCTCTTAATTTAAGTAAAATTCGTTTGTCATAAATAAAATCATTTACCACAAGCTTACCGTAGCGAGATTTCCAAAACCGACCTATAGAATCAATAACATAACAATATTATAATTTCATATTCAATCAGTCGAAACAACAAATTTTTTGTTTATTAGCCTACTGGTATTCATGGGGGTCCATATGGATGTCCCTACTACGCGTGAACTATTTTTTAATATTTTCAACTAACGGGCCGTGCCCATATCTCGTCCGGTATGAGCGCCAAGAAATGTCATCCCTCAATACCTCGTCCGGTATGAGGGTGAAACGGGCCGTCCCCATATCTCATCCAGAATGGGTGCCGAATTATCAATCCTCAATACCCCGTTCGGTATGAGACATCGTTCATGGTAGAGTTCTCTGTGTACTCGGTCCGTCCACCATCTCCCAGGATATCCAATAAGATTACCATTCATCATTTCACTTAATCAAACAATCTTTCGTTTACCATTAATTTCCAGTTTCTCAATTTTAACTATAAATCACGTAAAACATGCAATACATACATCAAGGAAACACAATTAAATTATCATACCAATTCCAGTGTATTATCATGCATTCAAACTGTAAAATCAATCAATCAGCTAAACATGGTAAATAGTAATAAATAACTGGTTTTAACTCCATTAGTAAGTTGTAATTAATTATGGATATTTTTTAATTTGTACAATAGACCACATTATTTATAATTAAACTTCAATTCTATAACAATGAATAGAGTGAGAGATTCTTACTCCAATTGATATCCAAAATGTTAAACTTTTTAGCTGCACCTACTAGCGATCCCGAGGTTCTCTAAATTTTTCTTTGGGGATTAAAATATGCTTCAAATACCTAGAAATACCCTAAAAAAATCAAAAATCAGTGTTAGAAACCCTTTTTTACCAATTCCAGCATGGGCGCTCTGCCGTGCTTCGACGACGACACCACCGCTTGCGGCGGTGATTTGCCTCGAATTGGCCATTTTCAGTCGATTTCGGCTATTTTTGTACTCATCTTTGCGATAAAACATGTTAAGGGGTCTCGGTTGGCCGAAAAAATCGAAGTTTACCGCCGGCGGAGTTTTTCGATGCGACGGCTCTGCCGGCTCACATTCAGGGTTGAGTGTTTTGCTTCGTTCAACCTATAGAAAAAGAAATGGTGATTACAATGGTGGAAAAATTACGCGACACGAAAACCGGGAAGGGCTTCATCATAGGCGATTTTTATTTTTTCCTACAGCGGCTCTGAC